TAGCGAGGTCGGGTGTCACATTGTGGGGCACTAAATAGTGTCCTCCCCCCCCCCCTCCCCAGAGGCGTAGCGACTCTTCCCGGGGACAAACTTTCAATTTTTGATTTGCACCCCCCCCCCCCGTCAAACTTTCGATTCGCACACCCCCCCCCTCTCGAACTTTCGATTTGCAACCCCCCCCCCCCCTCTTCAAATTTTTTTCTCTATATATTGTACTATTTTTTGCCTTGGTGTCATCCCCCTAAATGGTATCACCCGGTGCGGTCCGCACACCCCGCCCTCCTCGCAACGCCACTGCCATACGTTAACAGTGTGTTAAAGTTATCAATAACTTAAAATGTGTATTTAGTGTAAAACATACCGTGGGTAAATTTTAGTTGGTTACGCCTAAAATGTTATTTTTTTAATATTATATTTTTAATGCTCTTCGGAGAGCAATGTTTCCCATGTCATGTGACCTCAGAGACTCTGGGACAAATTTAGTTTCAGATTGCATTGTCTTCATGTCTTGACCCACGTGCCAACTGTGAATCGTATCGGTCAAGTAGAACTGTCCGAATTTTCACTCCTGCGTTTCTATTCTAGACTGACGACTGACGACAGACTGACGAGGAAGTGAGTTAAATAAAAGCTTGTAAAAATAAAAACTTACCAATGAACAGAAATAATGTTACATTCAGAAAGGCAAACATAGTGAAGCAACCTTCCCTATTCTTCTCAAGCTCTAGCTCCAGGTATGTTTTTAAGATTACCTGTGTTTTTTAAACATATTCAGGTAGCATTGAACTAAAATTATTAACAACACTCACCCGCCGTTTACATTGTCATTTCGATTTCTCCAAATACACGTTGTCAAAAGTATAAATTTTTGAATCTCGTGTAAATTTATATATATATATATATATATATATATATATATATATATATATATATATATATATATATATATATATATATATATATATTTATTTATTTGTCTATACTAACACTTTTATTTACATCGGTAGTAGAAACTTTCACTTATCTTCACATAATGATAATTGTTTAAACAATATAGTTCTTTGGAAAAACAAATACACTGAGAAGACAGTGGAATACGTGCAATAGAAAACTTTCCCTAGAAAAAAAACACAACCAGCGCATATGACGCTTTAGGCACAATTCGACCCGGATGCGGCGATCGTCATTTGAATTGAAGTGAACAACCTAACCAATCGCATGACGCCCGACCTGGGGGGAGGGGGGGGGGAAGGGTGAAAGACCGACACCTTGTTGTTTGGACCAACTCGGGGCCCACGGGGGCATCAACAGAATTGTCTAGTTTGGCTCAACAAGTTTAAGACAAGGTTCATCTCTTAGATTTTAACAACACGCATATTAACAGCGGCATTAAATTATGTATTTTATCACATAGCGGGAAAGTGGTAGAGAGCTAGGCTGTTAACCCGAAAGTATCGAGTTCGAATCTGGGTTCAAGTAAGTAATACGTCCGACCAGCTCTGATAGTTACCCAACTTACGTTAAGGAAAGTAAAGTCGGCTGGGCATAGTGCTGACCACACCATTCCTTCAAAAGATAATGATGATCAGAGTGCTAGTTTTTCTGGGTGATTTTTCTTTTGCAAATTACCATTGGAATTCATAATAGGTTCAACCTGATTTTTGAAGGTGTATTTTGTTGATAAATCTTGGAAGACTTTCGACAACCCAATACACGTATGATTGTAACCCTTTCAAACCTGACAGTAAATGGGGGCGGATGAAATATTTTGCTCTGAACTAATTATATCATCCAAACTAGAACTTACAAGTAAGGTCAACTTATGCTAATGACACAAACACACATTGATTCATACCAAACCCCACCACATACAAATCTGAATAGCAACTTTTTAGTTGCTATGAACTAGAGTAACAATTTGAAAAAAAGTGGACAACAATTAACGAGCAACAAAAAATTTCGAAGGGAAAATTAAAATATTGTCGTTGTATAGAAAGGGGAAGTGCTTTAGTAAAGAAAGCAACTCTCTACTGAAAAGTTCTGTAACACGAATAACTAAGGATACATCTGAGATACAGAGTTCCCTGCCCTTAGTTTCAATTCTTCTCTATGTTCACAGACACACACAGGTACACACACTTATAGACATACAGTCAGTAGTGTAAAATTTACTTTTTTCCAACTCAGGGAGGTCTAATACGTCGAGATTTGTGAAAATATTTATTTCAATTTTTTTGCATGATAACATTACTTACTTTATAGGCCAGATCCGTATACGAGAAAGTAAAAACTAGCAAAAATAGCCAATGTCGTGTTATTGATGTTCTCTATATCCATACTTAATTGTTTGCTAATTCTTTAATTATATTTACTTAAATTATTTATATGCTACCTATTTGGTAGCTTTTTAGTAGTAGAGTAAAAGGTTAGGCTTATTTTATATTAAGGTAGGGCAGCTTTTTTTCTACAAAAATAGTAGTTAAAAACGAAAAAGAATGTTTTAAACTTTCCAATGAAGCTAACATGCGTACTAAATATTTTGGAAGAAAAGTTCACTAACACCAATAACTAAACCGTCTTCTAAGATACAGAGTTGCTTACCTTTCATTGCTATTCTCCAATTAAAATCGGAGTTGTAGATGCAGCAGTTTAAGGAAAAACTTACTCGTGTAAAAATTATTGAGAAGAGTGTTGTAGTTATCTACAATTGTTGACAAACTCATACAAAATTCCTATGATAAGCTAGGAACATGCGAAAAAATGTCCGCATGTCGTGTCAATGATGTTTTTTAAATCCAATGAGAAGCTTTTTTCTGCATCTTTAACTACTGATACTTAAATTGATTAAGATATTTTTTCCCATCAGGATTACTTATCTATCTATATAAAAAGCAATGGATGTATGTCTGTGTATCTGTCTGTCTGTTTGTCTTTTATGCATTACTACACCTCTCATTACATCGCCATGAAATTTTGGGAAGTTGTTGAAAATATTCCTGGGGAGGTTTCAAATTCGCAGGGGTGTTTCCCCGGCAGGGAGCGATTTGATTTTTCTCTATATAAGTATATAAAAATAAAAGTCGAATTTTGTTTGACACCATTCATCCGATAGGCATGAGACTTTGGGAAGTTGATTAGAACTCTACCTGGAGGGATTCTGCAAATACTTTTTTTTTTTAATTTGCAAGGGCGGCACCACGGAAGGGTGCTACTTTTCTCTATATACGGTATATGCAAATACAAGTAGATTGCTGTTTAACACCGTTCATCCGATAGGCATGAGACTTTGGTGACCTCATTATAACTCTCTGGGAAAGGGTTCGGTAAAATCATTATTTTTAATTTCGTTAGGGCGCCGCCTTGGGAGGGTGCGATTTTTCTCTATATAAAATATACAACAATAATAAAAGTGAATTGCAGTGACACCGTTTACATGATCGCTATGAAACTTTAGGATAACGTTGAGAATATTTATAGGGAGTTTTCTGCGCAAAAAAAACAGTTCCAAATTTGCAAGAGTGGCGCCCCTGCAGGGCGCGATTTGTTTTCTCTCTATATAAGTTATATACAAATATAAGTCGATTGCAGTTTCACACAATTTATCCGAAAGGCCATCAAATTTTGGCGAGTTCATTAGAATACTCCAAGGTGTTGGGGGGGGGGATTTAAATTTGCATGGGCGGACCCCCGGCAGGATGCGATTTGGCGCCCTAGTCTTTCCCATGAGCGCTATGGCGACTACGTTCGGTCTAAACAGTGTGATAGACAATGGATTGGATGGGGCGTTACAAACGCTTACTAAATTGAATCAGGCGTGTCCGCCGGCGCCCTGGTAGGGTGCGATTTGGCTGCAAATAATTTCTGTTTCGGCCCCCAAAGGCTCATATGGGCTGCTGAGGGCCATGTAATACGTTTTATTTTGATAATTAAAAAAATTGACCATGTTAGATTATTAACTGGGATATTTCCAAACAGTTTCGTCACTTTGCGAATGATGCAACTAACATCTATTTTTAGAAAATGCAATCAGAAATTGAGATCGAGCATCTAATAATAGACCATTACTAACGCTAAAATATTGCATAAGTCACACTGATGTTAAAAACACGTCAAATTTTTTTGTTTCGTGTTAAAGAAATTGTTTTGTTCATTTGTGTTACTTTACCGAATGACGAAATCTGCATTATTGTTAACAGGAAGCTATTTGGCACGATGGCGCCTGCTAATTTTAAGGAGACAGTGGCCGTACGCTGCGCCTATGTGGTAATGTAATCGGGGGGGGGGGGGCTCCTGAGAGCGACCCTCTACGTCCCTGACACATGGGCGGTCACCAAAAGGTGATCTACATCATTATTTCGATGAGTGATTAATGTACACTTGCGGTAGTGAAGGTAAACCCTGATATTTATGACCGAAGCGCAGGCATTGTATACATTTAAATAACTAACTGTTAAAAAACAAGGTCACGCGTCTAAGAATAAAGGATATATGGATGAAACCCTTCTTATATATTTCGTCGGACTCTCTTCTTTTCTCGCGGTAACGCGCGGGGACTGGTACGCTAGTTTAATATAAAACATGAAGTAATAAAAAAGATGCTTTAGTTCATAAGCAATGTTGTTTTAGTACTCCATTGATCTATAAACTTGCATTTGAACATAAGTTTGATAGAACAAAAAAAGTAATTTCAGGCCTACTAAATATATTTTTCACTTTCTATCGTCGTCTGGTTTCATAAGTTGTTACGCTTATTTGAAAATTGCTGAGGAAACTAAATATAAATATTTATTAACTCTATTCAGGCTTTCAATCATTTTCTTTCTCCCCAAGTCTTTTACTAAATATGGGACCTACACAATTCACAATTTTTAGTATACATGTATCAATAATAACAGTAATTATGGTAAAATCAAAAACAAAGAGTATAAAATTGTGTTTATAAATTTTAATTTGATAATTCTTAATAATATCTGAAGATTTTATTGTGTTTATTTCCCATTTAGGCCTAGATCTGTATATGATGTAATAGATATATTGTGTTGATTTTTTAATGTTACCTTATTTATAAATTGTTATTTGAGTTTTAAAAAATACATATTGTGTGATTTGTTGACGTCTCAGCCAGACGAATAACTAGTGTTGATCAACACTGCCACTAACACAACCCAAGAGTTTCCTGTACAATGGATAACAAAATAACATTAAATGACAAAATATAAATATAATATTTAAACATCATCAACATTTAAGTCAATAATCAAACCTGTTTAAAATCTTTAGGATATGTTTGCACAAGCTGAAGTTAAACTGTTTTTCTTCTTAATAACTATACTTTGAATAATTTTTAAATTTTTAGTGTTATTATACCTTTGAGAATTTTGCATAATACTTTAATTGACACTTAGTTATTACGATTATAACGATAACTCAATATTTTTTTAAAAAATACCGATGGCTGCGTATACCATCATTGTTATGTACACAACTCAGTAATGCAGGGGTTCCCAACCTTTTTTTTACTCTATAGCACATTCTAAAATATCGGTAAGGGGGCGGGCACCACCTATTTTAAATCGACAAACTCCTTCCATAACTTGTCATTTTCCCATAATTTATTTTCTTATTTTCTTATAGTTATATTGTATTAATAAATAATAAACAAAAATGTTTCAAAATAATAAAATTATTTGGCATTTTTTTTCAAATTGCATACACACAGAGAAATGTATTTACAAAACTTAAATAGTTACTAAATAGTGCAGACTGGCTCGCCGCTAGACAAGTTGGGTCATATAGAACATATTTAATAAACCTAGGCAGTCAAAACAAAACTTAAAACTGTAACAAACGAATAAAAATAAATCATATTTTAAAATAATGTTTATGAAAAAAATTCTGTTTCTGTCGAATAGTGAGAGGCGGGCACATACGAAACGTTCAGCGGGCGCCATGGCGCCCGCGGGCACAGGGTTGGGAACCCCTGAAGTAATGTTTAAGGAATGAAATTAAACTATTGATTATTAATTTTTTTTTCAATAATTAATTAGATAGATCTGACAACATTTTTTAAAAAAGATTATAGATAGAAATAAAATTCTGTATCACTCGTAGAAATAAAGTCAAAATGAGATATTCTTGCTGTTGTGTTTGTTTTTGTTTAATACAATTTATAAGTGAATAATTATTTTTATACTGATTAATTTGTTGCAACTTTTCATATGTTTATGGAGATGATATTGCAACAAAATGTGTTCTATACTGCATTGATGGCAAGCTCTCAACACCAAAATATTTTGATATTGCTTGAGTAGGACAACGATCCAGAGTTTTAAAAGGTTCTTTTTTTTCTACAAAACAAGAAAAACTACGAGAACATTTACCTTTCTGTAACGCACTTTGCTGAGTCTTAGTTTTTTCTTCTTTCAACAAAACAAGAAAAAAATACGAGAACATTACCTTTCTGTAACGCACTTTGCTGAGTCTTAGTTTTTTCTTCTTCAACAAAACAAGAAAAAATACGAGAACATTACCTTTATGTAACGCACTTTGCTGAGTCTTAGTTTTTTCTTCTTCAACAAAACAAGAAAAAAATACGAGAACATTACCTTTCTGTAACGTACTTTGCTGGGTCTTAATTTTTTTTTTCTTTCAACAAAACAAGAAAAAAATACGAGAACATTACCTTTCTGTAACGTACTTTGCTGAGTCTTAGTTTTTTTTTCTTTCAACAAAACAATAAAAAAATACGAGAACATTACCTTTCTGTAACGTACTTTGCTGAGTCTTAGTTTTTTTTCCTTTCAACAAAACAAGAAAGAAATACGAGAACATAACCTTTCTGTAACGCACTTTGCCGAGTCTTAGTTTTTTCTTCTTCAACAAAACAAGAAAAAAATACGAGAACATTACCTTTCTGTAACGTACTTTGCTGGGTCTTAATTTTTTTTTTCTTTCAACAAAACAAGAAAAAAATACGAGAACATTACCTTTCTGTAACGTACTTTGCTGAGTCTTAGTTTTTTTTTCTTTCAACAAAACAATAAAAAAATACGAGAACATTACCTTTCTGTAACGTACTTTGCTGAGTCTTAGTTTTTTTTCCTTTCAACAAAACAAGAAAGAAATACGAGAACATAACCTTTCTGTAACGCACTTTGCCGAGTCTTAGTTTTTTCTTCTTCAACAAAACAAGAAAAAAATACGAGAACATTACCTTTCTGTAACGTACTTTGCTGGGTCTTAATTTTTTTTTTCTTTCAACAAAACAAGAAAAAAATACGAGAACATTACCTTTCTGTAACGTACTTTGCTGAGTCTTAGTTTTTTTCCTTTCAACAAAACAAGAAAGAAATACGAGAACATAACCTTTCTGTAACGCACTTTGCTGAGTCTTAGTTTTTTCTTCTTTCAACAAAACAAGATAAAAATACGAAAACATTTACCTTTCTGTAACGCACTTTGCTGCCCATTCACCGAGAAGGCCGCACCCATGCTATTGCTGAGGTTGTAGCAACGCATGTGATGCTTGTTTTTTAAGCCAGGTACAGGGAGATCATTCCTAGGGTCTATACCTTAAGAACCAATAATAAACATTATTTTTATCCGGAATAAGACTGTTGTATATCTGTTTTTTGTTTTAAATACATTATTTTTTTTTAAATCCACCAAATTATTGCCATAGTGTGCAGCATACCATTTTACACAATGATTCCATTTTATATTTTACTAAATCAACACATATTAAGGATAAAGACAGCTTTAATATTTATTTTGAACATTTTTACATGTTCTTATACTGTACTAAGTATACAATTGAAATCGTTATAAATTATTAACATAAACTTTTACAGTTGTTGGTGTTTTACACCTTCAAATCCTATACAGAATATGAATGATGCATTGTAATCGTATAAGGGTTAATTTAATTATGACAGCTACAAACAAATTAAATTTTAGATCATCGCCATCCCCGAATACTTTGAATTCCCCCCTCCCCCCGGTAAAATCTTTAAAGTGTTTACATTTAATCTATTGATGTTTATCTATAGTCAGCTGTTAATACAGCTGGGTGTAGCATTGTTTTCTCTGTAGTTAGCAGGTTGCGCCATGTTGCCACCCCCACCCTCCCTTGTTATGAATGAAATTATGTACTTAAAATACTTTTTAACTCTAATCAATATTAATTGAACTGGCAAAAGAAAACAACATTTATTCTATATATTTTGCATTTTTTTTGTCTTGGTGTCGCCCCTTTAATGGGTCAACCGGTGCCGTCCGCACCACCCTCCCCCGCCTTGCGACGCCTCTGGATCTACTAATTACACAATTTTACATTAGGGCTCGTCCATAAACAACATTTCCCTCAGGGGGTTAGCCTCGAATTTTCCTGACAGTGTGAGACAAATGAATAATGGTGACGATTCTGCTTTTTTCCCCCGATAATTTCGGAAACTGAATTTTAGCCATTATTTTATATTTGTAAAAATAAAACTTTCTCTAAATTTTAATGAAAATTATCAAGGTCTTTATAGCAGTCCTAGTTTATAAAATATTTTAATTTTTTTTGTTTAAGTTGCAATGATGGCATAGTGGACAGATATGTGAAGCTTTTAAACGTTCTGGCTTTTGGTGACGAAAAGAAACCTCACCTCAAGTTCTTGTCTTTTAAAAAACAATCGTTTTTTTTTCTATAGTATTTTCTGAGCTTAAACCTTAGTTAAATAAAAAATTAATTAATCTATATACTACTAAAAGTCAACTTTGTTTACATGTTTGAATATTTATTTGTTTGCCTGATCGAAAATTGTGATATGTTCGACTCTATCTGGAAAGCTGTAAAATGGTATGCAGGTAGAGAATAATTTTTTAATGCAGACAGACTGTTGATCACAAATTTATTTAAAGACGTTAATTAATTTATTGATTTATTCCTATGCAGAATAACCCATTTTTTTTAAAAATATTTGAAAAGCCACTAGACTCGGCGGGACCGTGACGTCACAGGTTTTTGTTTACTCTTTAGTACAATAAAATGGCGGCGTCTATTGAAGAAAATTGTGTTCCCATTCAAAAGTTTAACGCGTTCTAAATCTAATTTTCTGTCGGTCATAACTTTAACAATACGTCCGTTTGCTGTATTTATTACGTTCCAACACTTATATCAATTTTCAACTGTCTTTTTCATTTAGTTTTACGATAAATTTCTCTAGATCTAAAGATCAGCTATCGAAGGAAATTTATGAATCTAGCCTAGATCTAGATCTAGCCTAGATGTAGGTCACTAGATTCAATGTAAATTCTACATCTAGAATCTATTTCAGGCCTTAATTATTTTATATAAATCTTTGTTTGGCTTATTTAAGATAAAATTTAATTTGAAAGTTAGTACTACTAGACTTATTTTTAGATCTAGATCTAGAATCTATACGCGTAAATCAAGTTGCATAAGGAGACACATAGTATAGTATAAAAATTCACTTGTGACGTCACGAGTAAATAGCTAAAATGGTAGCGTAGTCAGCTCTCATGCAGGAGGCACGGGTTCTAGACCAATATGTCAATGAAATTTTTTTTTTCAATTTTTTTTTTAGATGTGAATGATAACGTTGCCTATCTGAACTTGGCAAGATACAGGGCAGGTGAAGTAGAGTTCATCTGTTTCTTTGTCCTAAGCATATGAAAGGATAGTGTGGTCAGATACATGCTCGGCTGGAATTGTTTTTTAAACGATAAAAACATGTTGTCTGAGACTTGGCAGGACACTGGGCAGGTGAAGTAGAGTTGAGTAGGTCACCTGTGACGTCAGTTTATGAAGGGATAGTCCGAAATCGGTGTTTTCGGTGTTTTTAAAAGATAAAAAAACATATTTGAATGTGGGGTCTGTTTTTGTGACGATAAGTGACACTGCAGTAGCGTACCGAGGAGGGGGGGGGCGGTAGGGGAGGGGAGGCGGGGGGTGGGGAGGGGAGGGGAGGCGGGGGGTGGGGAGGGGAGGCGGGGGGGGGGGGGAAGGGGGGGGGTGGGGAGGTGGAGGGGGGAAGGGGGGGGGGACATATGTTGGGGCGCCAAAATGGTTTGGAAAAATAAATTGATAGGTTGAGGGGGGTTCAAATTGAAAGTTTGAGAGGGGGGGGGGGGTGCACATCAAAAGTTTGAGGGGGGGGGGTTCAAATCGAAAACTTTGTCCCCGGGCGCCGGGAAGGGTCGCTATGCCTCTGACTGACAGACGTGATGTTTTTTGATGGATGACCCCCGAAACCCACAGTTATCCAACGGATGACGGGTATTCTAGTTAATAATAAAGCTAACGTCAAACTAATAATAATGAGTTTGCGATTTCCCACTCGGCATTTTCTTTAAGGGAACCGTAAAAAAAATGTTAACATTTACAATATAAGTTTCCAACCCGTACCACCTACATGGTGTCTATTACACTATCATTTCGGCCATCTATGCACATAGAATTGGGTGAAAAAATGTTGAGTTATTTTACTTAGCCAGCGGAAGAAAGGAAAAATTGCGCGAATATTATTCTAAATTAAATTGCTAAAAAACAAAGATTCATATAAATTATTAAGGCCTGAAATAATTTTGTAAAGAAAGTAATTTATTCACTGTGTTATTGGCCTAAATTCTAGATTTAAAATGTAGATAGAATCTATGGACAGACGAAAAATGGCTGAAGTCTAGTTTATAGGTAGATTTATTTCAAATATTTAAGGACTTAAGATAGTAAATAGTTTAACAAAGAAACTCACTGATTTATTATTTTTGTACATTTGTTTTTTTTAACTAATTAATTTTTGTTTAAACTTAAATTTAGTTCACAGCTATAAATAGTGTTTAATTTTGATAAATTCCATCAAAGTTTTTAATTTTTGTAAAAATAAAATATTTAAGGAGCAGTTTCTACAAATGAATGCATCAATGATTAATTAACGTCTTAAAAAAATTGTAGCCTATAACAATTAAGGAAAATAAGAAAAATATTACCAATATAATTGCGTTTTTTAAAGTCCTACATAGTGTGCAGATACTCTCATCAATCAGAACAGACAAAAAATAAGAAATAAATAAAGTTTTTGATTTTAGTACTATACTAGACTACCCGTCATTCCTTGGATAACTGTGTGTTTCGTGGGTCATCCATAAAAAAAAAACATCACGTCTGTCACTTATCGTCACTAAAAACCAGACCCCACATTCAAAAAGACGCCACACCGCAGACGTTTTTGTCTTTTAAAAACACCGATGGGTCTGACAACACAATCTCTTTATATGCTGACGCCACAGGTGAACTATACACCTAACCAATTCTACTTCACCTGCCTAGTGTTCCGCCCAGTCTCAGACAAAATGTTTTATCGTTAAAAAAAAAGATTTCGGTCGAGCATGGATCTGACCACACTATCCACGTCATATGCTAAGGACCAAGAATCAGGTGAACTCTACTTCACCTGCCCTGTATCCCGCCAAGTTCCGATAGGCAACTTTATCATTCACATCTATAACCAAAATTGAAAAAAAAAAACATTTAACATTGACATGATGCGTCTAGAACCCGTGCCACCCGCATGGAAGCCTATCTTGGCTAGTCACGACTGGGACGTTTTTTTTTTAATAGTTTGAAATGTATAGGCTGGTCTAATCAAGTTTTGTGTAAACTGTAACCCATTCTCATTTATAGTCTTCCGTACTGTAGTGTCTTTAGTGTGGTGTATTGTATATCTTTGCCATATAACTTAATGTAAAATTTAATGTAATACCGAATTGACAACGTTCAAAATCCCCTCTTTCTTGACAAATTCGATACCACTTTAAGGCTTCACGTCCAGCATATCTGCGGCAAAACATGTCTTTCATGACGCCACAACCAGTAGCCAAAACACACCGTACTCTCCTGAAAAGAAAATTTAAAAAAAAAGGAAAATAGTTACGTTGTTGTATGTAATTTATCTCTTTTTATTACTTTCGAACCTGATGTTTTATACATGTTTTAACACTCTAATTTATTCATTGTGGTTCTTAGCAACGAAAAAAAAAGTATATTCCTACAGTACAATCTGTTGCGTAATGTATTTTTATTTATTGTTTCGTTATGTCGTGCTGATTATAACGTCCTTTCTGTTAAATTATGGTTATTTCCCATTAGTGTGTTCTGTGTGTTTACAGTGACTGGGCATTATAAGGTGCTGATTTGTTGGTCAGAGAATGTCCAACACACCGCTTTATAAAGCGCTTGATTAAACCTGATGGCGGCTGGTGTTTTGTTTTAGGCACAACGAGTTAAGTAACAGAATAAACAATGATTTTTCTTTTCAGAAAAATTCAGGCTTTATATTTTAAGCACATTTTACTTATGACTTATGAAAATACAATTTTAAAAGAATATATATTGCTGTGCAGAGTTTCTTTCAAGCACTTCTTCGTGTTCCCCCCCCCCCCTCTAAAACAAAGTTAACTGCCGCCCCCTCCCCCTCGATTTAAATATAGTTTATTTAGAAAATTAGCGACCCCTTCCTGCGCTATCTGGCGAGGACGTTTGTAATACTTTAAGAAGATTACATCTATGCAGAGTTTCTTTCAGGCACCTCTTCGGGTGGGGTAGGGTTGGGGCGAAGAAAATTCCCGCAGAAAAAAGTCTGAAAGAAACACTGCCGCTGTGTTTATATATACATATGTTAAAATGGCATCAACTCTATTCCTTCTTTATAATTTCTAAATATTGTGTTATTGTGTTCTCTTTTAGAAACACGCTGTTTTAAAAATTATGTTTTTAAATACATCTTACTCCTGATCTCTATAAAACATAATGCAATGTAGCATTCCTCTTCAGACAACCATTCCTACTTTGTCATGTAGCAAATTCTTTTCTCTTTATCATATGTGCTAGTGATAATACGTAATGTAAGAATAGGGCTGGTAAGTAGGTCACCAACCAGTTCTACGGCTCAATAAAACCTGCATGAGCCATAGAACAGGTTTGTGACCTACTTACCAACCCTCTTCCTCAACTTCTTCACCAGCCAGAGGCGTAATGGGGGGGGGGGGGGGTGGTCGCACCGCACCGGGTGACACCATTTAGGGGGTGACAGCAAGGCAAAACATATACAGAAAATTACTAATTTCATTTAATTAAATGATTAATTAGAGTGAATTAAATAGTGTTTTAAGAGCAAAGTGGACAAATCCCGACACGGGTGGAGGGGGGGGGGATGACACCATGACGTAAACCTGCTAATGATAAATAAAACATGCAACATCCAGCTGAATTTATAACTTAATATCGATACAAATCGTTAGTATTAGCTGAGCACATTTATAAGAAATCACCGATGGGGTGACAAAGGGGGGGGGGGGGAGGGGAGTTACATCAACGCAACGTTGCAATATATATGGGCAACGAAAATGGTTTGGTTGATAATCGTTATAAACTAGATCTTATTCCATCTATGGGTTAGGGGGGGGGGGTAAAAATAAAATACATCCAGTAGAAAACAAGGTAATTAAAAAGTCTGGTGACAATTTTAGCGCAATTTCCTTATGTTATCTAAAAATAGCTCTGTCGTAGCGTAAATCAAGAGCAGGGTTAGTAAAACCATTGGTTAAAATACATGTTTTATTTACAATAGAGTTACATGACTAAAAACCATTGCACGCCTAGCTACTGAACGTGATGACGCAGCCATTGAACGTGATGGCGCAGCTATTGAACGTGATGACGAGTGTGGTGCGGTTGGATAAAAATGCCTACTAATTTGGTCCAAATTTTAATTAATTCAATTTTTTTTTTGTGACCGAACGAAATGATATTTTTGAAAACTTTCTTCGTCAATATTGTTTTAAATTATGGCAGGAATCGATTGGTACATGTTTCAAGTCGCTAAGTGGTCTGGTTGCCGAGATATGGGCAAAAAACTGCATTCTTCGAGGTTTTTTGGCTTTTCCGGGAAATCCATGAAAGAAACCCGGAATTTTTATGGCCTATGTTCATCCTCGTAACTTGCTTAACATAATTGCTTTTGGAACTAGTCCTCGATATTGCTTCGTTGAGGAGGAGATACGACTTAAAGCTGCGGACACACATTCATACATCCATCCATCCATCCATCCATTCATTCATACATTCATCCATCCAGAAATGACGGGTTAATAAACGCAATTCTCCAGAATGGAAATTGCGCTAAAAATATGTGAATACATATACACATGCATATACACATACTTGCTAGTTCACGGGCTGTGTCTGTCCGTCCGTCCGTCATCGCTGTAGATTTTGGGACTATAAAAGTAAACTCCGCACCATGCTGTGCTTTTCAGTGCACCGCAGTGGCTTATTTTAAGTGGGGTTTGTTTATATAACGGCATAGAGCTATTTTATAATTGCCACAGTTTTTACTTTTTTGCATAACGTAAAGAAAATATTAAATACACGCAAATTGCTAAAACGTATTAAAAGGATCAATGTCAAATATTGTTTTCCTTAGTATTCCTAGAAAAAAAGGATACATTTTAATAACATAATAACAGTAGGGTAGAAAAATCTAATTAAACGGTTTAGTAATTTTGCCAAGGGAGGTAATTTAAAAAAATACATTGAACTCACGCTTAAAATGTAAATGCAAAATCTGCAAGACGGAAAAATTGTTGGAATAATATAATTAGCAAAATGTGAATGCAAATTATGCAGACGTGTAAGAGTACATTATTGTTGGAGTATTATAATTAGCATTGATTGATAAAAGGCTATCTTTTATTTATTTTATTCACTGAATGTACTGTTTACTAATTATAATTTTTAATAAACTATTCTCCATGATTATATTAATTATCACGTTCATTAGGTGCGCAATGGTTTTAGTTATGAAACTCTATTGTAAATTTTTAAAATTTAAAGTACTGGGGAAAAAAAATGCGTGAATTGATAAAGTGATATAATATGGTAGGTAAAACACGGATATTTTAAATACTGCTGGGGGTTTTATAGGAGAGGCGTAGAGAGGGGGGGGGGGAACATATGTCCCCGGTTGCCGACCTAAGGGGGCGCCAAAGTGGGTTGTAAAAAATTGCGGGGGGGTGGGGGGGTGGGGGGGGGTGAAATCGAAAGTTTGAGGGGGGTGCAAATCAACAGTTTGAGCGGGGGGAATTTCAAATCAAAAGTGATGCAAATCGAAAGTCTGAAAGGGGAGGGGGGGGGGGGGGTGAAAATCGAAAGTTTAAGGGGTGGGGTAGAAATTGAAATTTTGAGGAGAGGGGGTGCAAATCGTTAGTTTTAGGGGGGAGGAAGTCAAATCGAAAGTTTTTCCCCGGGCGCCGGAAAGGGTCGCTACGCCTCCGTTTTATAGTCATTCACTGTGTCAGACGCGTTCGGCGGCGCTCGGAAAGGGCGCGATTTTGGCGCTACGGGCTAGACTGTGAGCACTATGCCTTTATGATTGCATTTAAATTGTGTTTATGTTATGAGTGTCATGTTTGTTTTTTCGTTTTTTTTTTTTTTTGCGTTCGTTTGTGTTGTGTTTAGTTTTGTTCTGTTCCCAAGATGGTACATTTAAAACAGATTTACCGTGGCGGAGCACGGGATACAGCTAGTCTATAATATAAGCGGGCTGTGTCTGTCCTTCCGTCCGTCATCGCTATAGATTTTGGGACTATAAAAGTAAACTACGCACCATGCTGTGCTTTTCAGTGCACCGCAGTGTCTTATTATAAGTAATAGAGTAGGGTTTGTTTATATAACGGCATAGAGCTATTTTATAATTTCCACTGTTTGTACAATTTTGCATAACGTAAAGAGAATATTTAATACACGTACATTGCTAAAACATATTAAAAGGATCAATGTCAAATATCGTTTTCGTTAATATTCCCAGAAAGAGTGGATACATATTAATAACATAATGACAGTACGGTAGAAAAATCTAAGAGTGTAAGAGTACATTATTGTTGGAATATTATTATTAGCATTGATTGATAAAAGGCTATCTTTTATTTATTTTATTCACTGAATGTACTGTTTACTAATTATAATTTTTAATCAACTATTCTCCATTACTATATTAAGTCATCACGTTCATTAGGTGCGCAATGGTTTTAGTCATGAAACTTTATTGTAAATTTTTAAAAGTACTGAAAAAAATGCATGAATTTATAAAGTGCAATATGGTCGGTAAAACACGGATATTCTAAATACTGCCTTTAATTTATTTGCGAAAAAGCTAGGGGTTTTATAACAGAGGCGTAGCAAGAGGGGGGGGGGGGTGGAAATCGAAAGTTTGAGGGAGGTGGGAGGGTGTAAATCGAAATTTTCCGCCGGCGCTCGGAAAGGGCGCGATTTGGCGCTACGGAATAGACTGTGAGCAATATGCCTTTATGATTACATTTAAATTGAGTTTATGTTGAGTGTTGTGTTTGTTTTTTCGTTTTTGTTTTTTCTTTGCGTTCGTTTGTGTTGTATTTAGTTTTGTTCTGTTCCCAACTTGGTACATTTAAAAAAGATTTACCGTGTGTTGTGATTGTGGTTGTGTTGTGGTTGTGTTGTGGTTGTGGTTGTGTTGTGGTTGTGTTGTGGTTGTGTTGTGGTTGTGGTTGTGTTTTTTGGTTGTGTTGTGATTGTGTTGTGGTTGTAATGTTGTTGTGTTGTGGTTGTGGTTGTGTTTTGTTTGTGTTTGTGTTGTGTTTTTGTTTGTTTTGTTCTGTTCCAAAGTTGGTACATTTTAAAAAGATTTGCCGTGGTGGAGCACGGGATGCAGCTAGTATAATATAAGCGGGCTGTGTCTGTCCTTCCGTCCGTCATCGCTATAGATTTTGGGACTATAAAAGTAAACTACGCACCATGCTGTGCTTTTCAGTGCACCGCAGTGTCTTATTATAAGTAATAGAGTAGGGTTTGTTTATATAACGGCATAGAGCTATTTTATAATTTCCACTGTTTGTACAATTTTGCATAACGTAAAGAGAATATTAAATACACGCACATTGCTAAAACATATTAAAAGGATCAATGTCAAATATCGTTTTCGTTAATATTCCCAGAAAAAGTGGATACATATTAATAACATAATAACAGTACGGTAGAAAAATTTAATTAAACTGCTTAGTAATTTTGCCAATGGAGGTAATTCAAAGATAAATTGAACTCACGCTAAAAATGTGAATGCAAAATCTGCAAGACGGAATAATTGTTGGAATAATATAATTAGCAAAATGTGAATGCAAATTATGCTGACGTGTAAGAGTACATTATTGTTGGAATATTAGGGGTCGGCGTGGTCGAGTCGGTAAAGCTCATGGTTGCTAAACCGAAAAGTCTCGAGTTCGAACCCTCGGGAAGATGAGGCTCGTATATATATATATATATATATATATATATATATATATATATATATATATATATATATATATATATATTTTTTTTTTTTTTTTTCTTACGGAGGAGGGGGGGGGGGGGGATCCAGTGCCGCACCGGATGACACCCGACCTCGCTACGCCACTGTCACCAACTACTGCTAAATATGTATCATGTTTCAATATTTAGGTATTAGCGATTATTCTTACCCACAATGTTCGTCTTTTCCACAACCTACACCATCTTTTGGTTCTAAATCCCGAAAATAGCCGCCGCAAACTAGAGTTGATTACAGAAAAAAAAAAGTAAAATTTAATTCAAAAGAATTTTAATCATTTTGAAATAATTTAAATTATTCTATTTATTCATTAATTTTTTTTTCGATTTAATTTTAAATAATAGATTTAACTTAATAACAACACGATTGAGAGTAGTTTTGTAGCTCTTTACCATGAAGAGTTTTATTATTATACTAGCCCCACAAAGTTTATTCAAAGTACTAACTTTTTTTAAAAAAATACGGTTAATTTAACTATGAATAAATAAATTAATTAATTAACGTCTTTAAATAAATTTGTGATTAACAGTCTGTCTTAAAACAAAAACTTTTCTCTACCTACATACTATTTTACAGCTTTCCACGATGAGTGCAACCACGAGCAATAGTCAATCAGGCAAACAAACAAACAAAAAAATAAATATTCAAACATGTAAACAAACTTGACTTTTAGTAGTATATAGATAATGCTTAAAAAAAACCCACCAAGTCCCTACTTACATTTAAAATCGTTATTGATATAATCATACGCATGGTAGTCATAAAAATCATAGCACTGTTTGAGTTCTGATCTGCTTTCGTCAAACGAAAAACCAGTTTTGGAACTTGGGTCGAGATCTTTATAAGGTATATAAATCATAAATGATCATGAA